GGAAACAGTGAAGGACCGGCCTCTACACAGCCCTCCCGAGCTCCGTTTTCAGCTGTGACGGCCTTCTGCAACCCTCTGCCAGCAAAAACGGAGCTCGGGAGGGCTGTGTAGAGGCCGGTCCTTCACTGTTTCCAGGCTGGCCGTGTGGGCCAGATCTAAGCACCCCGCGAGCCAGATCCGGCCCCTGGGCCTTAAGTTTGACATCCCTGTTCTACACTGAAATATATTTGACTATTTTGTGTGTCAGTATACCACACACAAGCACAGCTAGTGCAGGATGTTCTAGGCAAAATTGAGCCAAATTAAACAGCCTAAAAGTAAATGCCACTGCAATCAGTGAATAGAATTGATGCATAAACAACAACTGTAGCAATCACACTTGAATATGAAATTACTTCAGCAGTTTGCTGTTAGAAATGTACTTGGCTGGCACAATGCAGAAGAGAAATTTTCAAAAACAAAACAAAGAAAGGGGGGGAATCTTCATTAAAAAAACTAAAATGGTTTAAATAAAGAAAAGCCTTAAATCATGGATCATGTTATAATAAAATATATTTTTTAACCAGGAGGAAGGGAGATAGATAGATGGATGGATGGATGGATGGATGGATGGATGGATGGATGGATGGATGGATGAGATGAGATGATAGGCAGGCAGGCAGGCAGGCAGGCAGGCAGGCAGGCAGGCAGGCAGGCAGGCAGGCAGGCAGGCAGGCAGGCAGGCAGATTTAAAGATAGCACAATCTCTAGGACACTCAGCTCCTGTTGGAAAACCAGTTGGAACGTATGCTCAGCTTCAGTTGTTGCACCAGTTGTGTGCCCATTTCTGGAACAGGGGATGTTGTAACCATCATCATGCCCTCATCACTTTACATTTGGACCATTAATTCACTGTCCACAAGTCTGCCTTTCAACACCATCGAGAAACTGCAGCTAGCCAAAATGTCCACAACCCGATATTGCTTTGTAACACCAATGATACAGGAGTTGAACATAATTTTATATTCTTTAAAGCCTTATGTGGCTTAAGAACTGATTATTTGTCATTGAGGTGCACTGTGAAGGAAGCATTTTCTCTTGTAGGTTCCTCCTGTGAAATGTTTTACCAACAAGAACTATATTATCACTCCTGATATTTAGAAAGTATCTTTTTCAAATATATTTAGGTTGTAAATACTAGGAATTATTATTTTGAATTTGTTATATGTTTTAACGGTATATGGTTATGAGGGTTTTTTGGTGACTACTATATATTGATGTTACTGTATTTTTGCTTGGGATTAGTTTAGAGGCAAAATGATTTAACTTGCAAAAAATCATTTGTGATAAATAAAACAAATGGTTTATTGCTAAGCATGGCATCTACTGTAAATTACCTAATTGTGACTTGTTCAACAGCCCAATAAACATGATGTAATATCATGCATAATTTGAATTCTTGTCTGATCTGAATAAATCACTGGGTCATGAATCAAAGATTGTACAATGTGAAAACTGGCCATGTCATTTTTTTTCCAATTCTGTTATGTCTTTCAATGGTTACTAAACATGGATGTAAGTTGAGGACTACCTGAATATTTTAAAAAATAGTTCTCTAAGGCTGCTTTTCATGAGAATTTCTAAAACAACTTCTCTCATATCAGCATTTTTTTACTAGCTGTGCATAATTTTTAAAAAATAGCATCCAACTCTACTTAAATGAAAGAGTTTTTAAAACTGCCTTTGATATTCAATCTTCTTCGAGTCCCGAGATTTACTCTAACTGATGGATAACCTTTTTGCCACAACCCCGTGCTTCCCCCACCTGCGCATGCGACCCCCATGCATGTGCACATGTCTCGTGCATGCGCCCTTCCTCCCGTGCATGCGTGGCAGAGACCCAAAAATCATCTGGCCATTGGGAGGGCACATGCACGATGGACTTGAGCTGGTGATGGCTTGCATGCCTTCAGAGAGGTTCACCATCATGGCTCTAACTTGTTCAAGGCTTCTAATATCTGACTGGGTAACACAAACGGTAACATAAAACATTCCTATTTTTGTCCATCAGCACAAAAGCCCGCACAACACAAATGGTTTTACTTCATATAAAGCCAACAAAATGGCTGGTATCATTTGAAAAGGATTTCCCTCCCCCCGCCAATCTTTTCTTTTTTCAAAATAAGATCAAATCTTTTGATCTCTTTTCTACTCCAAAGCATAACCCAAATTAAGCTTTCAGTAATTTTCAATAGTCTCTGAACTCTTAGCCAGCAATTTATTATAAATGTCATATCCTGTCTTAATGTTGAAGCCAAGAAAGGTATTTTATTCATTCATTTATGATAGAAATCACCCTTTTCCTTCTCAGAGGGACCCTGGATGGTGTACAAATAAAATATTAACATGTAAAATGTTGAAACAGGATAAACAAATGTAAAAATTTAGAACAGGCCAAGAATAGTTAAACTATAACTTTAAAAGTTAATTATTGGCAAACAGTTCCTAATGTCCAGTTTCATCAAGCTTTTCCAAGATGGGTGCTCTGTAATTGTTGGAGTTCAATTTGTATAATCCCCAACTGGGTAATCTGGAATTTGAAGACCACACATTTGACAGGCACTCAATACAGGAAGTATATCAAAGAGGCTGACAGTTGATTTATGCTACGGACACTGTAACAGCATGGTTTAATCGGATTCACTTACCTTCCCCGCGGGTTTGCAAATAGGAGCACATGTGCTGCATCTGTGCACATGCATTGCCTTCTGCACATGAACAGTGCTCACGCATTATGTTGGGGCAGATGGGCGGAGCCTCCCACAGCCGCCACTACTGGTCTGCCCGAACCGGAGAGAACTGTCTGAATTCCACCTCTGGTTTAGTCTTGTCCTCATGATTGCTAGTTCTAGGTATCAGTATGGCTTTGAGATCAATGGCTTTACGTTATAGAGGCAGATCTTCAGTATTTAAAATCTATTTGGTAAATTTGGGAAGGGTAGTGAAATAGCAACAGTACTGAGACATACTGTATATAGCTCCATAGTACTTTACAGCATTCTCTGAGCGGTGTATAATGCCAGCATATTGACCCCAATAATCCAGATCCTCATTTTATTGACCTTGGAAGAATGGAAGGCTGTCACCCTCGAGCCATGTCAGGATCAAACTCCTGACTGTGGGTAGAGTAAGCCTACAATACTGCATTCTAATCATTCTACCACCAGGGAAATGGATGTTGGCTAAAAGAACTGTAAAATACTGCAATGGAAAACGTGAACATGATTTATGAGTAACGATTTTTTTTACAGCTATGTGTTGCCAAATTTAAATTAATCCCTTTCAACCAAAAGACAAGGAAGAAAACTTTAAAGCAATGTAATCAAAAAGTTGTATTTATTTACTTTATATCCCAACTTTACTATTTTTATAAACAAAAGTGTCAAACATAATTAATACTTGTTTGCCTGCAGGAACGCTCCTTCTGTCACGCTAATGGCCACGGCAAAAGGAGTGGCAGGTTCAGCAATGCGCAACATAGCAACAGCCATGAGGTGACCATGCTCGTCGCTTCCTGCACCTCAAAGCTGATAAGACCTTCCCAAAAATAAGGCCCAACACTTATTTTGGGGCTCAAAAGAAAATAAGACCCTGTCTTATTGTCAGGGAAACATGGTACATTTTATATACCATATTTTTCAGAGTATAAGACGCACAGGAGTATAAGACACACCAAGATTTCAAAGAGGCAAATAAAAAAAAGTGTGTGCACTCTGCAGACCTCCCAAAAATAGTCTATTTTGTGTGAATACGGGTCTGTTTTTTTTAAAAAAGGGCATGAATAGCCTTTAGGAGGTTTATAGAGTGCTCCTGGGAGATGGGGGGGGGCAAAATTGAGCAAAAATCAGTCCGTTTTTCGCTAATTTCTGCCCTCCCTAGGAGCACCCTGAAAGCTTCCTAGATGCTATGCATGGCCATTTTGGTGAAGGGGGCGGGGTTTCAGGCCAAAAATGTTGTATTCAGTGTGGAAGATGCACCCAGATTTTCAGCCTCTTTTTTGAGGGAAAAAGGTGCATCTTATACTCCAAAAAATACAGTAGATACAATTGATCTCACCCCCCTCACTTTGGAGCCTTAAAATTGGATTATGCTAATTATCTGTGATAATTAAAACTAAGATCATGATTTGGATTGATTTTTTTTCCCCATCTGGGGCCAAGTAAAATCAACTTTCCATCGTGTAAATCATGTCGTTTATGCTATGGTCTAAACATAAACACGCCGAGAAACAAAATAGGAATGTCTTTTTCCAGTATTTTCAGAACAAACATAGGGCCAAGGAAATGGGTAATCTTCGTGGTTCCCATGCTAAAGACTTCCAGACCGATTCAGCAAGCTGAGCCACTTAAAACATCAAGACGGTACGAATGCTGAAAAATAAAACACAGGCTTCACTTTCCACATCCTCTCGTAAAGGAACATGATCAAAACGCAAGTATTTTTAAATTCGGGGCCTGTGACTGATTTCCTATTTTCAAAGCTTGCTGACAGATATTGTTGTTAATCTTGGAATATGGGAAAGGCGGGCTGTGCAGTTGGGAAATGGGACGGTTGCACTTGTTTGTGGCAATGTCAGGACAACAGCATTTGCCATTCGTAAGAAATCAGTGCTGTGGAAAACCCATCTAGTCAAGTAGCTATGGGCCACAGAGAATGGCATGCAATGTCTGTATAGTGTAGATCAGCGGTCACTAACTGGTGATCTGTGAACCACTGGTGGTCCGCAGAAAAATGATTTGCCTTTTTTAATATTAGACTAAATCGGGGGTCCTCAAACTTCTCCCCCTGGGATGGATACGTGCAATGAACATCCATGTTGCTGAAGAGAGTCTTCCCTTTCAGGGTCTTTTTGTGTTGGTCAGAGGGAGGCAGAAATTCCAACTTGGGGTCTGCTTCAGCCTCCTGGTGTGGGGCTCTGGGTGAAGGCTGGAGGGAAGTGCCGCAGGTGGCAAAAAGCTGGAGAACCTTGTTCCAGTGGGACTGCATCATGGCCTGGAACTGGCTAGCCATCTCAGCCCGCTGAGCCTCCAAGTGCCGGTACCTGGCCTTGCATTCTCACAGGTCTTCCCTCTGCTTGGAAAGCCTATGCTTGTAGTCCTCAGAGAGGTGCTTCTACTGAGCCTCCTTCTCTGGTGAGATCCAATTTGAACTGAGCTGTTTTGCCAACTCTTTCTCGTGGTGGCTGCTTAGCTCCAACAACTGCTTCCTGTTGGGGCCCTAAGTAGCCCAGGCGAGGAGGCAAGGAGCGGCTGGGAGGCAAGGGGCGAGTAGGGCTGGCGAGGTGCCTCTCGATGTGAGTGACATTGAGTTGGCCACGCCCAGCCGGTAACATGATCCCCTAACCACATCCACCCAGCCAGTCATTAGGCAGATCATATTAGTGGTCCGCGGGATTTAAAAGTATGAATTTAGTGGTCCCTGAGGTCCGAAAGGTTGGTGACCCCTGGTGTAGATTCACTCGAGGCAACTCACCACACAGTGGAGGAATCTGGGAAATCAGGCCCAAAAGCTGAATGCAGATCTGAGCAGATCTCCTGAACTTTATTGCCTCATAGAACTGTGCTCCAACCACTTATCAATTGCTTCAACAGCCTTGCTTCAATATTAGAAGAAAGCCAGAAACAGAGCCCCACACAAGGCCAAAAAAAAATGCAAAGAAATTTTACAGTGTTATCTCACTTGGTAGCCCCTTGTTAAAAACACTTGTCAGTATGTATAGAAGTGAAACTGCCTTGGTCAGCTTCATGGATGATGAACAGAAACAAAGGGAATATGAATTCTGACTTTCTTAGTTCTCCTAACAGTCCTCATTTCAATGGCCATGGTATCTTTCTTGATAACTTTGCAGTCTTGGAAATTTATTTTTATTTTATTATTAAATTTACTTGCCAGCCATCTTGTGTCAAATGATTGTGGGCAGCTTACAGCATAAAAGCATTAAAACCATCAGATATAAAATGACCCAGCAGTTAAAATAAAACCACTTAATATAAGATGGAGAAGGAGGAAGGTACATACATGGGGGGGATGGATGAGGTGGGATTACCCCAAACAAGTGCAGCGGCCACATTTCCCAGCTGCAGAGACTGCCTCTCCCATATTCCAACCTTAACAATAATATGTCAGTAGATATTAGTCAACCACCTCCAGTGGGAAGTCCCCCTTCCCCCAAAATTGGGTCCCCAAGTCATCTAGCAGAACCAGATCTTAAACTCTTATGAAAAGTCAAGAGGTTGGGAAGCAAACACACCTCAGGTGGCAAGATATTCCAAAGGGCAGAAGCGGGGCCTTGCTTTGAGTGGTTCCCTCCCTATCTGGCAAGATAGTTCCAGATGGTATTGCTTGAGGCCTACTGTTCCATAAATGATGAAGTCCTTCAAGGCTGCTTTGAATCTACAGTGCTTTTCAAATGAACCCATCAACTGTTGGGACGGGACCAGTGGTGAGTTGTGGATCCCAATGCAACCAGTACATTGCAATGGGGCCTGGCATCTCCCACATGCACGTGCGCACAGGCGTGCGCATGCGTCATTACCTCTGGGATGCCTCCGGGACGTTCCGGCTGCTTGGTGGAGCGTCGTGGCCATACGCTCTGTGCGCAGAAGTGCCAAAGAGCTCAAATACAGGTAAGGAGCTCGGGCAGGCGGGTAATCCCTCCGGAGCACCGTATGAGAACGGTACCCGATGCTCCCGGCAGGCACCGGTATGCCTGTACTGGGGCGTACCGCCTGACACCCACCACTGGATGGGACCTTGAAATGCAATTATCTAGATAACACTATCAGGCAATGGTGTAGCTCCCTTGAAGGTTTGCCTAAGGATAGTGATGGGCTGAATGAAGTTAAACAAATTAAAACCAAATCCACATAAGACAAAAATATTCATTGTGAAAGGTCATCACTCTAGATTTTGCATGGAGCTATTCTTGATGAAATCACTCTCTCCCAAAAAGAGTGGGCATGCAATTTAGGAGTGACTCTGGACTAGGTCAGGATCTAATTATAACTTTCAGGCTTGTTTTATGCATTATATAAGGTTGTTCATGTGTGCAACTTCAGAGCTTTAATTGGGACAAACTGCTACAGCCAGGTCGATGTTTGGCTTATCCCCTAGAGCCCACATCATGCTAAGGTTAAGTCAGGTGCCAATTTGCATTCAGGTGCAATAGAAGTTATAGCTTATTGTTTAAAGTGGCTTAGACCTGGGATACCTAAAACTATGTCATCTCTTCCTCCGAGACTCTTAGTTAGATCGGCTGAGTATAGCTGGTTGATCTGGCTGCCAGCTGGGACTACTTTTTTCAGGGGAGGGAGAGAGGAGGACTTTGTGTATACAGAGTCCATGAGAACAATGACTTAGTAGAATTAAACCTTTACAAGGCTTTAATATGCACTCTTTCAATTAACATTTAACTTTATCTAGAGAACTCTTAGACTCAGCCTAGCTGCTCTGTGAAATAAACATCTAAGAAAAGTGCAGTAAATACTTCGGTTTCCTGGCAAGCCCTTTTGGTCTTTACAGAGCTTCAAAATTAATATTTGCTCTATGTGTAGATGAAACAGAATTTATTTGTTATTTAAATCCTGTATTTATTATGTTGATAAATAACTCAAGGCAGAAAATATACCTAATCCTCCTTCTTCCTCCTATTTACCCCATGTCAACTTCCTTGTGGGGTAGGGTTGGATTGAGAGAGCGCGATTGGCTCAAAGTCACCCAACTGGTTTTCATGTATAAGGTGGGAATAGAACTCATGGGTCCCCTGGTTTCTAGCCTTGTTCCTTAACCACTAAACCAGGGGTCAGCAACCTGCGGCTCTGGAGCCGCATGTGGCTCTTTTATCCCTCTACTACATCTCCCTGTTGCCAGTCGGCTCCACAATTGATAGGGCTTTCGGTTAGGATAGGTAGAGGAAAAAGGACGCCACATTAGGAGGAGACTCTATGGTGGTGGAACTGGACTTCTGGTTGGCTCCAGAAATAAACGGGGGGCTTCTGGTTAGGACCTTTGTGGCTCTTTGAGTGTTTAAGGTTGCTGACCCCTGCACTACAGCAACCTGGCTTTTGGAATTCAAACTGAAGTCTGAGCTGAAACTACTTCTGTTAGAAGTAGGTAACGATGGGGAAAAAAATCTCACCTCTTTCCAGCACGAAGCAAGTCAAATCCTTTCCCAATATCACTGAACGGTAAAATGTGGGTGATCAGAACATCTGGTTTAAATTTTCCTTCCATGTAACTGGAGACCAGTTGAGGAATTGAATCTTTCATCTTCCAGCCTAGAAGAAACGAAAACAAATGTAACTTACTAGATGTTGGCTCTGCTTCCCATGAACATTTTTGCAATTTGTCAAACTTTTTTTTTTTTGGCAAATTGCAAAAGCGCTCATAACAAAACTTGTAACATTACTTTTTTGTCGTTGTAAAATCAAATGTAGAATAATAAAGTAAAACTGGGAGCACATGAATTGCTAAATGCTTACTCTTAACTGCTGCCTCGTTCTCTGGAGGAAAGATGGCAGCTTTTTCATCATTCCATACGAAAAAAAAGACAAAGAAAATATCTGCTTATGGGTGCGTTCCCTTATCTTTCATCTGTCAACATACCTCCAATGAAACTCCCTTTTATGGTGCGCCCTGTAAGAAGCAGCATAGGATCCAATGGGAATTTAGCACCTAGGGGGGGCATCCCAATCACCACACAGATCCCACAGCCCATGTGACAAGAGGCCAAAGCAGCTGCCTGGTTGGAAATAAGGGAAGAAATTAAGAAAGTTTTTGCTGTGCAAAGAAAAAAGGGACAATGGATGAACATTAAAAATACTGGTATTTGACCCTGGAAATAGTAAAGATAAATAACAGCTGGTTTAGTATAAAGCAGGGGTGTCAAACTGGATTTCTCAGCATTGTAGTTCTTTGCTGCGGGCTGACTGTAGGGGAGTGGGTAGCGGTGGGGGGGAGAGACAGGACACCTCTTGCAGCAACTTGCCAGGCAAAACGGGTGCAGGGGCCTTGTCCCATTTTCAGCCTGGACGGCCTCCTGCAGCACATTGCCGGCCAAAATGGGGCACAGGAGACAACAACGTGTGCAATCCTTCCGTGCTCCATTTTGGCTGCCAGAGGCACCGCGGGCTGCTCCTTTGCTATTTCCAGGCCAGCCCCATGGGCCAAATTTAAGCACCCCTTGGGCTGGATGCAGCCCATGGGCCTTGAGTTTGACACCCCTGGTATAAAGCAAATGTATACTGAATGTTCTGCAACCGTTATACAGCCACTACCGATGCTCATGCCTCACAATAATTATTGTGCTCCCTACTTCCCAAAATGATTTTTTTTTACCAACAATTCTCTGAAGTTACACCTGAAACTGCTGATAGCATTCCAAAGGTTCTCTGATCTTTCTGGAAAGTTGATCAGTGACTTTTTTCAGGACTGACAGTTGAGTATCCTTAAATAGCACCTGTCCATTTCCTCCTTAAGAAGCTCAATACAATTACAATTCTTGTTTTTTTATATTTGCTGTGTTTTATCTGGTTGTTGAACGCTGTCCGGGGTGCCTGTTGTGAGATAAGCAGCTGCATGAATTTTTTTTAAGATAGGTAAATAAGTAAAAACAGATTTGATTTTCCAACTATCTTAACTGAACAATATACAGGCTCTAGCTACTAACACTCAAGAGTTTAATCTCAAACAAGAGGACTTCCTTGGCAGTCTGCCTGAAGGGCAGGATATTTGAAATAAAAAGAGATCAATTTTTAGACTGTGTACCAAGGGTGGGTTGCTGTCAGTTTTACTACCGGTTTGCAACCACAATGCGCACCAAACACGCATTGCATGTGTGTGTGCTGTTCAATGTAAATTGTTCTGCGCACATGCACAGAACAATTTACAT